TCGGATAGCACCTTTTTAATGGAATAAAATCGTGGTCATAAATATTTTGTGCATAAATAAAATTAATGCATCTGTAATTATAAAATCGTAACTAATAACCTTAACTTTCTGAATTTGATTGCAATTTAATAATGTGCAACTTTTGTTAATCTGCTTTGAAACAATAATTATTTTAAAAAGTATGGAATAAAATCGCTGTCATAATTTTATTGTGCGTAAATAAAGTTCACGCATTTGTAATTATAATAACGTAAAGGAAAACAGAGCATACTCGTAATTATTACGAGGGTACAATTCCAAAACCTGCGATTAAAACAGACACAGATACGACATTTTTTTTGTCCATTTATATATGACTGAAAAAAATTACGATGGGTGACACTGTTGCCACACAACTTTAAACACCTTATAAAAGAGAATTTTGTATAATAGGCCACCTTTAAAAATACACATAAACTTGTATTCATTTTAACATTTAATGGTTCTTCAATAATAAGTTCTAGTTTGCTAATTTGGTGAAGTTTATTTATAGACTAATATTGAGATGATCACACGCTTATGATTGTTTGCAGCCAGCTCTGCATTATTCAATTTATGATTCACCAATCAGACGATTTCTAAGCCACTATAAATACCAGTTCCATATGACAGCCATCTTCGTTTTGAAAAATCCCTCCTTCCACCCCTACTCCTCCTCCTTTCCTAGATGGGTGGCACGGTGGCCCAGTTGTTAGCACTGTTGCCTCACAGCAAGAACGTCATTGGTTCTAGTCCTTACCAAGCCAGCCGACATTTCTGTGCAGAGTTTACACATTCTCCCCATGCTCACATGGGTTTCCCCCGGGTCGCCTGGTTTCTTCCCAGCATCCAAAAAAATGCAACTTAAGTTAATTGACTAATACAAATCAGCACCATAGACATGCTCCTAGTAAGTACTTATCTCTTAAGAGCAATCACTATCTGTTCATTAGCTACTACAGCAGGGGAGTTCTCGAGATCTACCTGAGCTCAAACTCCCCTCTCGCCTGGCAAACGGGAGGGAGCCCCGGGCTCGTGGATATTATGAGCTCAGGGCTCTCTCCCAGGAAAGCATGCCAAACACGCTTTATAATCAATCATCAGCTTAGTGTGAACTCTTGAAATGCTTAAAAACATTGAAAATATTGAAAAAAGAAATGGATAAAAGATTTCTTGCTGAATTTAGGTAAGATTTTCTTTCTTTCTTACTTTTAAAACAGTAAAACCTGACTAAAGCCCCAACTTTTGAACAGTGGGGTAAGTGTGAGGGCCCTGGTGATGTTCAGCTTTCTTCATCAGTCTCAGTGTGTTCTGCCTGAGGTTTTGGAGGCTCTTGACAGTCTGAAACACTGCACCGGCCCATCCATAATCCAGCACTGCCTTCTCTGCTTCTCTCTCCATCTGTCTCCCTCACTTCAAACCCCCTAACAATCTGAACCCCTTCCAAATTAAATTTCAATGTTCTGCTGACACACAGACACAAGGAGAAAGCCAAAAGGAGTTTTTCCTTTCTAAAATCAACCCCCTCAATACTAGAAAGAGCAACAGTCTCCATCTCATACACACACACAGACACACACACAAACACACACACATTGTGAGTCTCAGATAATCTCAAAGACTCTTTTATGGAATATTACATGAGAGCTTTGAAGTTTGGGAGTGTGATTCACACTGCAGGGGATGAAACGAAACAGTGTGTATGATGTGTGTGGGTGATGTGCTGGAAATAAGGTGTCTTACTTTGGTCTTACACCTCACATGCACACACACACACACACACACACAAACAGACAGAGTCTACCCCTCCTCGGTAGTGTCTTTGTGTCTGCGATGACTCATATGTTTCTGTATGCCCGTGTATGTATAATATAACAGAGCAATAGAGAAATGTATGAGAGGGAGAGAAATATATGAGTTGCAGGGTAAGAACACCTCTCAGTCTCAGGGTGGGAAACGCAGCAGTAAAACTGGCTAATTATCAAGCGGCAGGCGCAAATGATGGTCTTCTGCATAGTGGGCGTTTGAGGAAATCTGTTTGCAGCCTGCTTGAGCTGAGTAAATCACAGCTACACGGCCAGAACGCTCAGCATTAAACCACAAACAAGATTTAGCCACAAATATCTGATTCGTTCTCCATTCAAGCATGTTGTTTCTATCTCAAATATTTTCCAACCACCATGGAGACACGCTAAAGGAAAATTAACTGGATTTACTCCGATTTGTCTCCTTAAAGCTCAAAGGCATTCAACGTTTTGTCAAAGGGATAGTTCTAGATTGTCATTTACTCTCCTTTTGCTGGTTTCAAACCAGTTTGAGTTTTTGTTTGTTTGTCTTATGGGTGTCACAGTGGCTCAGTGGAAAGCATTGTCACCTCACAGCAGGAAGGTCGCTACTAGCCCCACAGTAGAAACGCGACATGATTTCGGCCTCACTGCTCAACCTCCCGGGCGATTGGCCCGGCCTGGCCCGATATAAGCCCTGGTTCGCACTGGCCTGATAGTGGAAATGCGGCTACTGATTTGAGTCTCGGCTGGGCCAGTTCCCAGTTGGGCATTTCTGTGTGGAGTTTGCATGTTCTCCCTGTGTTTCTGTGGGTTTGCTCCGGGTGCTCTGGTTTCCCCCACAGTCCAAAGACATGCGCTATAGGTGAATTTTGATTAGGTAAAAATTAGTCTTAGTGTGTGAATGTGAGAGTGTATGGATGTTTCTCAGTACCGGGTTGTGGCTGGAAGGGCATCTGCTGCACAAAACGTATGCTGGAATTGTTGGTGGTTCATTTTGCTGTGGCAACCCCTAATGAATAAGAGACTACGCTAAAGGAAAATGAATAAATGTTGCCCTATTAGAGTCAATGGTTTCCGGTCTCAAACATTCTTCAAAATATTTTCTTTTGTGATCAAAAAAAAAAATGTTGAACAAATGATGGCAGAATTTATCATTTATTTTTGGGTAAGCTATCCCTTTAAAATAATATATTGATGTTTATGTAAATATGAGATAAATATGGTAATAAGCTCTTAAATCTTGAGTCTGAATGACATTGTTTTAAAAATTCCATCTTTTAAAATTTTAATGAGAAATTCTGAGTGAGATTTTTGGTCTCAGGGATCTGCTTCATTCATTCTTCATTTATTCTAGCTCTTGAGCTAAGGAAACTTTTGAGATACACTCTTACAAAGAAATGTTACCAGAGAGGGTTTATGCAATGATGACTTAAAAAAAAACATTTTTGGTTCCTCAGAGAAGCTTCTGTTCTAAACTTTTCTTAAAAAAAAAAAAAAAAGCCATTTATTTTTAGTGTGAAGATCATTTGAATTATTTAAAGACATTTTTTTCCCACTTATAGACTATAGAATCTAGTAATGACATTTGGGGGTGAGTGTATTCTCTTAAAATAAAAGATTCTAAAATCAAAGGTTTTCACGGAGAACCTATAACATCCATGGAACCTTTTAATCCTACAAAAGTTTCTCAGTAAAACAGTTCTTTATTGTGAAACTGTTCTTCGCACAATGAAAAAAAGTGAATTAAGGCCCTAGAGTTAAGAAGGTTCCTGGGTATGTCAGGGTATTACAGACGTTTCTGTAGGAACTTTTCCTCTGTTGCTAAACAACTTAGCCTATCAAGGACTTTTGTTTGGTCAGCGGAAAGTCAGGCTGCTTTTGAAAGGATCTAACAGTTAATTTGTTGTTCACCAGTGTTAAGAGCTCCTAACTTTACTCTTCCATTTAAGTTAGATATCAGCGCAGTGGGAGCTGGGGCTGTGTTGTTGCAGGAGGATAAAGAAGAGATTTCCATTCAATAAGTGTTTTCTTTAGGAAGTTTAATAAGCACCAGTGTAACTATGCAACTATTGAGAAGGAGGCTTTGCTGTTGTTGTTGGCGTTACAACATTTTAAGGTATTTGTTGGGTGTACCTCCTATCCAATCCTCTCACTTTCTTGTGTCAAATGTACAACCTGAATCAAAGGCTGATGCAGTGGGCTTTAGTGGTTAAAAAATACAACATTGAGATACGATACAAGAAAGAAGTGGACAATGTGATCGCTGATGCACTGTCTAGAGCGTAACTAACTCCATATTCTTTTGAATGTACAAGCATTATTATTGAGGGTATAATGTTTGACAGGGGTGGGGTGTTGTGTGCCTGGGGGTGCTGCTCTGTTGTTCCCTCCTCCTCCCCTTTTCATTTTCATTTGCTGCCTGCTGTTCTTCTAAAATCTAGGTGTTCCGATTGGCTTGTGGAGTTTTCACGAGTGGACCAATCAGAAGAGTATAAGGGTCATTTAAGCACTCCAGTGACGATTCTGTGCAGACTGGGGTGGTGGTCCTTTGTCTCTTGTCACTGCTCTCTCTCTCTCTCTGAAATTTATGTGCCTGTCCTGTTCTCTGGTTTGCTTCAGTTTTTTTGTTGTACATACCTGTATATTCAGAACATACAAACTAAATCTGCTTAAATCTAAGGGAATTGTATGTCACGTGACTTGTATTTTACATACACATAGCTAATTCTCTGTTAATCCATAAGGTAAGAAGCAGGTGCTACTCTTTGTATGTTTTTCCAAAAAGTGCAGTTTAGTGAGGGATGTGTGATGCCAAAGATGCTTATTTGAAGACCTTTTCACTGATAGCTTCTACACTGAGCCAAAAAAAAAATAATAATAAATTCTCTATGGCAGTGGTGCTCAAACCTGTTTCTGGAGATCGAACTTCCTGCAAAGTTCAGCTCCAAACCTGATCAAACACACCTGAACCAATTAATTAGGACCTGAACAGCACTTGATAATTACAGGCAGGTGTGTTTGATAGGAGTTGCAACTGAAATCTGCTGGAAGGTCGATCTCGAGGAACAGGGTTGCTCAGACCTGCTCTAAGGCATAACTGTGAAAAATGTTTTTTGGTTCTTCCAGGCAGTGTGTAAGTCTCACTAGTGACTGCACTAGCACTTCCTAGATATTCCTTGTTTGTTTCTGGCTTACCTGCCATAGTGCTCATCACAGACCCAAGGAGGGCGTTGATGGCCAGAATGGGTGAAAAGATGAAAACCGCGCCCAGGATAAGCAGAGATGGACCAAGAGTCTCACAGGCAAAGATCTGCCCTACGCCCAACACCACCCCCTGCAGAAGCTGATGAGAACAGCAAACACAACAGCACATGAGGCCTGTTACTACATTTAAGGTATTAACAGTGGTTGACAGAGTACTGAAAAAGCATACTTAAGTACATGTACCATTTCTTGCCTAAAAATGTAGTGCAAATAGAGTAAAAGTATCTGTTGTAAGTATTACTTAAGTAGGAGTAAAAAGTAGTCATTTTAAAAGTACTCAAGAGGAGTTAGTTGTGAGTATTATGCTGTAAAAAGCTTATGCATTTACATGTTATTTTTGGATGTTTGTAAATGTTCTGTAGTGCATTTAGTTATTGCCCAGCAGGCACACAATGTCATAATACGTTAATATTATGTTACATTTAGGTTGTGATGTCAGGTGACCAAAGTTCAATGTCTAGCCAGCATCTAAGGAAAATGATATTTGGATGTTCAATAACAACATCAAATGATGTTGATATTTGGCTGATTTTAGGTTGTTAAAAAGTGACTAAAATTCAACATCATGCCAACATCTAAAACCAGCGTCATATAGATGTCAGATATTGACATTTATTAGACGTCATAGTGGTACCGTCCACACAACGTCAAGCTGTAACATCATTAGATGTTGATATTTGGTAGCTTTTAGGCTGGACATTGATGTTGTCGGCCTAACGTTGGGTTCTGATGTCAATCCTTTTTTCATTACCAAACCAAATGCACTGTCCCCACGACATGGGGTACAACATCAATCTGGTGTCATGATGACGTCTTGTGTTTGTTGGGTGTTTAAGGCCATTTCGGCCATCGTACAGTAAACATCCATCATCATCTTCTCATCAGTGACATGCATTTAAACTCTGGTCTCTGGGCCGATGCGTGTAAAGATTTTGATCTTTATTGACACTTTTAATGCTCCCAAACAGTTTGCTGCAATTATAAAGCGCCCATGTCTTGAAGCAGTTCGTTATGATGCGATTTACCTTATATGTGTGATTTGATTGGACTCGCAGGACTGACTTTTCTAATTCCCATAGACAAGAAAAAAATTAAGTAGCGACTGTAAGCTGAAGGACAGAGTGGAGTAAAAGTATCAATACAGCACTAAAAATGTACTCAAGAGGAAATAAAAGTACACAGTTTTAAAACTACTTAGTAAATTTCAAATTTCTGAGAAAAATTATTAGATTACAGTCATTTGAGTATTTGTAATATATTACTTCACATCACTGGGTATTAGTTTAGAGTAGACAAAATAAATAAGATCCTCGGCTCAGTTGGCGTTTGTATGTTTGCATGTTCTCCCTGCGTTCGCGTGGGTTTCCTCCGGGTACTTCAGTTTCCCCCACAGTCCAAAGACATGCGGTACAGATAAATTGGGTAGGCTAAATTGTCCATTGTGTGTGTGTGTGTGGATGTTTCCCAAAGATGGGTTGCTGCTGGAAGGGTATTCGCTGTGTAAAAACTTGCTGGATAAGTGGGCGGTTCATTCCGCTGTGGCGACCCGGATTAATAAAGGGAATAAGCTGACAAGAGAATGAATGATATATATATATATATAAACTGTCACATTTTAATTTGATGTATGATTTGCTGCACAAATTTTTATAACATCAAACTCCACATGTTTGAACAGTAGAGCAGAAATCGAATGCAATTTATATGACAAGGGCTCATAAATGTTTTTTCTTTCCTGCTCTGATGCTGATGTACTTTATATTGTAACAGGAAGGACAAATCTATTTTTATAGCCATGAGCAATTTGCTTGACTCATAAATGTCTTCACTCCATTTCCCAAAATGAGACTGATGTACACTTTTAAATGTTTGTATCTGCTAACAGATTTCAGTAATACACAAGCATATTGATTAAACAAAATCAGTATGAATATAGATAATTTCCTATATTATCATCATTTTTATCAAATGCTGACTCTGATCCTATATTTTATGAGCAAATTAAACAAGCCAGCTTTAATGGGATTTTTACTCGCATCGAATTTTCATGAAAGTGAAGTAAAAAAAGAAAAGGTATTTTTTTCATTTTTAAAATTTCTTCCCCATTCGCCCGTCATTTCTGAATCAAGCTGTCTCCATGGAGACATGTTAATAGCACCAGACATTACTTGTGCATAAATATGTGTGCTATAAACAGCCCATAATAGTAAGTTGCTATTGTGCATGCCAGAGTGAGCAGATCAGCCATTCAGCCAGCCAGGGTAATGCAATAAACACAAGAATCATCATGACATAAAAGATCTAAACACATACACGCAGGTCTCAGGAGAGATGCGAGATGGAAAGATGATGAAGACAGATGGAGGAAACAACAGACTTTTGTGTGTGAGGACAAAGGAGGTTAGAGAGGCAAAACAGGAAGACGGCAAATAAAAAGGCAAAGCTGCAGTGAATGAGTGGCATGAGAGAGGGAGAATACAATAAAACCTCAGCAAGATGACTGGGTAGATATTTTAGGAACATGAATGGCCCTTTTGCATCATTCACTGTTTTCATCTCTTTTATTTTCATCATGTTTTTGCATTCACTTCATCTTCTCACGTAAACATATGATGATATTCAGTCATTCAATATGTCGTAATAATGAACACGCATGGTACAGCGTATTGTGGGCGCTTTGAATACTGTAAATAATCATTTATTTATTTAAACTTTTAGAGTGTCTTTTGAGAATATTCAGATTGTTGAATTAGTGGTTGTTCATACCAGCACCAAAATGCTTAAAGACTTAATAGGTCACTTGATTAGGTACACCGCACTAGTACCAGGTTTGACTCCATTTTATTCTATATAGAATGTAGTTTTCTAACCATCGTGCAATAAATTTTAATTCAAATGCACAATATTACCTTTTCGAGTAGTAGGAGACTTAGAACACAGCCTCATTCTCACCTGTGGAACATGGAGCCTGGTTTGGTTTGTGCTCTCTGACGCCCCTGGTGGATGGGCAGGATAGTTTGGAAAATAGGGGTTGGAAGTGCCGGTGCAGGCCAGATACAGTACAATGACTGTGTTAAATGGGAAGACGCTCACTGGTAAATCCCAGTGGTCCAGAATTGGAGCCAGACTACTGGAAAAAAAAGTTCTAAGACATGAGAGATACATGTTGGTTATTGGATTTTATGACAAGTAAAAAAAATCTAATAATATACTTAATATGGATTACTTTGGACTTACGTTGCAGCTCCTCCAAGACACACAGGCACCAGGAGCCACCAGTACCAGTCTCCAGCAGAGCTGAACACACCCATCAGCAGAGCCACCAGCATCCCATTAAAACCATGAAGACCACTGGACACCTCCTCACTGCACATACACACAGGTTAGGTCATGTGTGTAAACTGAAATCAGCATATGTTTCCCTTCTAGTGTTTAGATAAAAAAGCCCAATCAATTTTCTACACCTGAATCCTTCTCAAAGAAGAGTTTCTCATTCCAAATTAGATGATATGTGTGTTTTTTTTTTGCTATTAATTAGGATCTTAAAATTGAATTCATTGAATCATTCATTTTATGTCTATGTTATGAAATATTCCACCTTTAGAGTCTGTGTGAACCAGAAGTTGTTGAGATTTTTATTCCAGTGTGTTGATGTACTTCCAACTGAAATTAAATATTAAATGGGGATGGGACTTTATTCTTCACAATCATTCCCTCATAGCAAATAACGGTAAGGAAAGCATGGTTAAAAATATTGTGTATAAAGCTGTCAAACTGACCGCCTCTCCAAAAGTAGAAGCAAATGGTCAGACTTTGAAGATTACCAAAATAATGTTTTTATAATTGTTTACCTAAAGAATACCAATGTGTGCAACATGGTAAATTTTATTTTCTTACAAACTTAAAAAGGCACCTATGATTCAGAATAGGATCCAAATCCCAGTGGTTTTGAGGCCCACCGCATCAATTTATAATGTTAATTCTTCAGTTGTTTTTAAGGATTACATACATGAATGCAATGTAGATTAACACTGTTTACATTTTTACACTTAATTTGTGCTTCTATGGCATATGATAATGATGATGATCAACGCTTTCCCCAAGCGTTGTTGCTTTTTATAGATTTATTTAATACGATTTTTTTATTTGTGTTGTTTTTTACTTTTTGCCCACAAGCAACGCAAGAGGCAGATCGCTAAATGCAGTTGCCATCAATGTAATATGGTAATTGATCAACGTAATTCTATCATCATTTACTCTCTCTTCACTTGTTAAAAAGTTATTTGTGTATATTTCCTCTGTTTCACAAAATAAGATACTCAATATTTACTCTCAATGAGTTTCCAGACAGTGTTTTCAACTGTTGAACACAAATGAAGATATTTTGAGGAAAGCTGAAAACCTTTAATCATTCACTACTATAATATTTGTATTTCTTTTTATGGAAGTAAAGCGGTTATCTGTTATCATTTACTTCTAAATATCTTCTTTCTGTTCAACAGAAGAAATAAACATATAAAAGTTTGGAATCAATCGAAGGTCAATAAAGTAAGCAAAGTTTTATTTTCCCCTTACTAGCCTTTTCAATCTGTCCAAACACAGACATCAATATTTTTTTGGATTATTATTATTTGCTAAAATCACCAGCTGTTGTCCCACCATCGTTCACCTAAACCCCAGCTGCAAAAGCAGTTCATGCTGCAGAGGTTTGTTTGTGTAGCTGTTTCATTCACAGTATTCCTCATACACGTTTTTGTATTTTTTTGCACTTTCTCCAAACATGTGTTTTATTCATGCATCGATGCCTGAGTGAGTATGCAATAATTTGTGCATGTTTTGCTCTATGCATATGCTTTTCTGCATGTGTGACTTAGTAATTCTTTACCAATCCTGTCCCAGGATTATAGCTGTGAAGGTAGAGGCCAAAAGGCCCAGCATCCCCAGCAGAGCCTGCCAGGGGCTCTCCAGCAGCAGCGCTGCCAGAATCACAGCCCCACTCAGGGGATTGTTCAGCAGAATCACCCGTGAGATCCCACGCAAACACCACTCTGCCAGTTGCAGTGGGTAGGGTTTATCTGGAGGAGAGAACGTAGCAAATTAGAGAACGAAATGGAGAAAGTGTTTTTCTAAAAATCCAGAAGAACGTTATATACACTGCCTGACAGACGTCTTGTTGTCGATCCCAGTTGTAAGAGCAGCAAATAATAATTTGACTTCTAGTTGGTCATTTGGAAAAGTGGCAGATGGTAGATTTTTCAAATGAATCATCTGTTGAACCGTGACAAGACTTTTGTCGGGTAGAGTATAAAGTAGGTTTATATAAGTTATGGATACTGTTGTTTCAAACTTGTACAATTTTTCTATGTGATTTGCAAAAGATGTTTATGATATGATCTATCTTCATTTCAGGAATATGAATTAAACTTGCGCTAAAAACTCCATAAAAGCAACCAGGCCTCATAAATCTAATTATATCTCACATAATCTGATGGCACATGAGAGTTTTTTTGATTAAAATTTTATTATTTATTTCACATTTTGCCTTGAAAACCATACTCATCAGTCATTTTCATTATGTATACTAGTTTTTATTTCACAGAAGAATAAAGCAAGATGTGTTTTAAATGATTATAACTTAAAATTGTAATTTTTGAGTAAGTTGTTGGTTTAATATGCACTGGCATATCCTTATGATTTAGGAAAGTTTATTCTATAAAACGTTTTAATAACATAATAGCTTTTAATAACATTCAGATTTTATCCATAGAAATCAAATATGTGCATTCTAGAAAATATGGTAGCAATTATGACAGACAGCTGTTGCGCTAAACAAGATATACATAAGTACATATAGATTTTCGTAGTAGTTTTTTTTGTAGGCTGTACTGTTCTAGTACATTTACATGCAAAAGTAGTGCATTATGTATATTATTATGTTCTGAATATTGTGTAATGTATTAGTAAGGGTCTCTTACCCTGCATGTGAGAGTGTAACTGTTGCATTTCTCCACTGCAGTACAGCAGGGCACTGATGACACGCTGTTTTAGGCCTTCGGACTGCTCCGGTGTGTTTTTTTCTGAAATCCTCATGGTGCCAATCGAAACCGCGTAGCATTTAGGAAGTTTCAGACTCAACTCTGACTAATCCGACTTCTACTGACCTTTTCCTCCTTTTTTTCTCGCCGTCTCCCCAGTCCTTTCTTTCAGACATGCGTTCTGTTCTCTCTCACTTCCTCTGTTCTCTGTGCACATGTACAGGTTAATATCACATCTTAATTAACTCGTGCTGTTACACGTTTTTCCCAACTAGATATACAGTACATGGACAAAGTTCACCTGTGCCATCTTTTGCTTTCCTCTCAATCATTCACATTTTTTGTTACCATTGTGTTTTCCTTGTTCTGTAAAGCAGTGTATTGGAGACCAATCACAACAAGGTGGGACATATTGGCATTCTACTGTTGTTGTTGTTAATTTATCACTTTAGTTCTTACAAAATTATTTTCTCCTTACCTATTTGCAACTGGTTGTCTGTAAAAGGCCAGTAAGGATGCAACAGTCTTTAAAAATACATAGACATTAAAAAGTAAAGGAGAAGAATTTTATTCATGTGTTTGTTTTCTTCAGAGATCTGTATTATGTGTGAACCTGGCTGTGTAGAGCTACATTATGTAATCTGCAGTTATTGCTGAAAGAGGGACCCACAGTTCAGTGTTTGAACACGTCTGTTACATAAAGAGTGTTTGCTGGAACAAAAAGAGATTTACTCTCAATGTAAAAGAGGTCAGTGAGAAAGCAATTTGTAGTCCATGTGAGTCTGTCTACAAATGCGCATACATAAACCTGTTTCTGGTCTTAAGCTGTATAGAGGCAGGTTTTTTTATAGATACCATATTTTTCAGATAATAAGTTACATTTTATTGATCTGGAACCTGCTGTTACTATACGATGTCTTGGGAAATAAATGATGTTTGAGATTTGCATGGCAATACTTCATTGTAAAAAAATTTAATGACAAAAAGTCAAGACAACAAATATTTTTATGTTGCTTTTACTTGTTTATATACATTTTCAGGAAATAAACTAAATGTTTAAGTTATACAAAGTTTATATTTTTAGTCAGTTTGATTGATATAAGTTGAGATTACTACAAAAGTTAGTTTGATTCAACTGTTCAATGGAGGTGAGGATCCAATGGCAGCGTCTTTCTTACACAGAAAATTGTCAGACAGGCAATGGTCAAACACAGGAGCAAACAGTATCATGCGGGCCAATCTGAAAGAGTAGTCGAATCACCGGCGAAATAGGGATGCCTGACGTGATACTGACGTTTCGACACAGTGTTGAGATCCCAAAGTGCAAGTGTTTTGAAACACTGCACTGAAGCATGACTCGAAAGGTCACGTGACTAAGGTGATTCGAAAAACCCAGGTCATGTGAGTAAAGTGTTTCACGAAACACCAGGTCACAAGGCTAAAGTGATTCAAAGCATCAGTCATTTTAGAAGCGTTTAGAGACATGGTGAATCTGAGTTTGACTGACAATCTCATGTAGCGCAGTGTACTGTGGGTGTACACAGAGTAATTATGCTCCAAATGGTCCAAGTTCAATTCTGGACCTACACAAATTCTCTTGTATTTTTGACTTGATGTGCTTTTTTTAACGTTACTTTTTATGACCAAAACAAGACATTTTTATTGTATAAGTGTTTGTTCGGATGTCAGATCAATGTTAAAACAAAACGCGTTACAAGAACAGAGCATTTAAAAACATCTTTAACATATATTACATAACATCTATAGCTGCATCACCCTGGATTCAAACCATTATCTCTGCATGCTAGTCTGGAACTCACATATTCACTAAATCACTAGAAACCTCAACTCTACAATTTGGTGTTTAATACCTCAATTTGCTCAATTGTTTATTTGCTGAAGCTGTTCCAAAGAAATACATTAAAAATACCACTAGCGAAAGATCGGTTCAGGCGGCTATCATCAAAAATCAATAAACAAAGCAAATAATCAAACACTGCAAAGCAAGGAGAAACGCTTCGTGATGCTACAGGTAAAACAAGACTCAGCACTGTGTGTGTGTGCATGTGTGGTGTATATATAATCAATGTAATGGATTTTTTGAGCAGCTTCAGCTGTGTGCGTTTGCACTCAGTCAGGATCAGGAATCAGTGTGTGTGTGGTGCATGCTGGGAGTTGTAGTTTGTTTGGTGGCAGATTTGTAGTTCTCCAGCGATCCGCAGTAGCTAGATCGCTGGTGACTGTAACACATATCCTGTATATATACATATCTAAATGGTTAAAGAAAGCTTTCACTTTAATTTGAAATTTATTTAGGATTTGAATTGATAATAAACTATGTATTTTTATATTGTTAATGTCAATATACATCTGATTATTTATTCAAACATTTTCTATTCCTATTTGTTCTGAATACAGTTAATTTTGTGGAGTGATTAGAATATGATATATGTTTATATTACTTATAAATCTTTCATTTTATTTAGGACTATTAGTTTTCCATTATTTCCAAATGAAATTAGTAAAATTTGACCCAATTTCTGGTTTTGAATTATGACTTATACTCTGACTTCACCAGAGACAATTCAATGACAATCACTTAACTAAATACTTACAATACGGTAAAATATTTCCCTGAAGTATGGTGGTGGCATCTTGTCAAGAAGCTAGTATACCTCAATCACACATGGTCCACTGGTCACATCAACCGAAATGAAACTCCTGAACAGAAAATACATATACTGTACATGTATATCTTGAGTAAAAAAATCAATGTCAACCAAGTCCTCCTCACTAGTGATTGGTTTGTCTCGAATCATGTGACTGATAGTTTTACTCTTTTAAGCACTTTTTGAGATTGTATTGATTCTTTAATCACTGGATGCATGACCTTTGAACTGAGCATCATTAGTCTGCACTTTTTGAAGCATTCAAATGTTGTATCCTTTTACGTTCTATTGAAGCTATTATACATGGTCGTATATGACAATATATAATAATCACAATAGATTTATCATTTGAATTATTGACTTGAGGCCTTTTTAAATAACCGAGTGTCAGCCAGCAGAAATCAGATAGAAATACAGAGACACCAACACAAGCAGAGAGGGAAATCAAAAGTAACTGTTTCCATTGGTTGATGTTTACTTGATATTTTAATTGTATAACTGGATATGTTAATTGCTTAAATTTTTGTATAACCAAAAAGAAAACCAAATGTTGATGTACAACTCTACACTCTAAAGGGCAACATATTGTAACCCAACATTGCATCATGGACAAACACAACTGCTGTGTTAAAAATAATTGAAACGTGGCTAATTGAAAACTTAGTGAAAATAAATTAGCCCAATGTTGGATTTGACCAGGCTCAGTGGTTAGCACTGTTGCCTCACAGCAAGAAGGTCGCTGGTTCAAGTCCCTGCTGGGTCAGTTGGCATTTCTGTGTGGAGTTTGCATGTTCTCCCTGTGTTGACATGGGTTTCCTCCGGGTGCTCCGGTTTCCCCCACAAGTTCAAAGACATGCGCTATAGGTAAATTGAATAAACTAAATTGGCCGTAGTGTATGTGTGTGAATGAGTGTGTATGGCTCGTTCCCAGTACTGGATTGCAGCTAAAAAAGCATCCGTTATTTAAAACATAAGCTGAATAAGTTGGTGGTTCATCCCGCTGTGGCGACCCATGATGACTAAAGGGACTAAGCCGAAGGAAAATGAATGAATTAATAGGTTCAACCATGTTTGATCCACTATTGTGTTACAGCTACCGATTGCATTTCGTAGTGTTGGAATATGTGGGTATCTGAATTACATGTTTTTCCCAAGAATCTTTTGTTCCTGCATAGATATGTGCTGGTTTCCGCAGAGTTGTTTTGCAAGCACGCTTATCTTTCTTTTTTTCTTTTTACACTTTTTTTTCTGTCATTAATTTTTCAGTAAGGGCATCTGTATGTGTGTGTGGGTTGAGGAAAGCCAGAAGCAAACACACCCCTCCATTGATTGATAGTCACCCTGACTCAGAGTCTCCGAGGCTCTGACTGATGAAGAGATGATGGAGTGAGATGGGAAAAGGAGAAATCAGAGCAAGCTCTAGAGAGAAACAAAGCAATAAATACGTTCTGGTTGTTTTGACGGATTATTTCACATGCTAATGTTGGCTAAATAGTGCATGACAGATTCTGTTTGTACACTAAAAATGCTGGGTTGTCATAGCTGAACGATGAGCATGGACAAACGCAAAGTTGGGATAGTTTTTTTTATTTAAATTATATTTTTAACCCAATGATTGGATCTGGTGGGTGACGCAATGGCGCAGTGGATAGCACTCTCGCCTCACAGCAAGCAGGTCACTGGTTCAAGCCTCGGGTGGGTCAGTTAGCATTTCTGTGTGGAGTTTATATGTTCTCCCCACAGTCACGTTGGTTTCCTCCAGGTGCTCGGGTTTCCCCCACAAGTCCAAAGACATGTGGTATAGGTGAATTGGGTAAGCCAAATTGTCTGTAGTGTATGTGTGTGAATGAGTGTGTATGGGTGATTCCCAGTAAAGGGAAGGGCATCCGCTGCGTAAAACATATGCTAGATAAGTTGTCGGTTCATTCCGCTGTGGCGACCCCTGATTAATAAAGGGACTAAGCTGAAAAGAAAATGAATGAATGGTTAAATCTGTCCATATTTGACGCAGTGTTTGTGTTAACACATCCCAGCATTTGCATGTGTGTGTGTGTGAGATCTTCATGAATGACATCAAGGACAAGGCAATCTTGCCATTTGAGGGACAATTTCCTTGCATGGTCAAAACTGGTCGATGTTTGCTCATTAAGAATGTCACACACTTACACACACACACACACACACACACACACACACACACACACACACACACACACATACACACACACACACACAGACTCTAATTAAGGATGCACAGGCTGTCTGGCCAGTTGTAGATCGTTAGCTGTTCACATGCTGGAGTCGGAACACAATTATGTGGCTGTGTAGAGCAGTGGCCCCATGATCTTTGGTCACCCCACTCACTTGACTCGGCTCTAGGTAAAGCTGCTGTGGGAGGCCTCTGCTCAAGCTTAGGACTGTGTGTTGTTTTCTTAAAGGCACCGCACCCAAAAAACTAAAATCTGTTATTTTCTTTTCATTGCAAGTATTTAGCGCTGCTGCAACCTGGAGAGCTCAGAGTGAGAGGGGCTTACACAACAGGGAGCATATTGGGTTAAGGCTAGATGGGATACAACAACGCATTCTGGACATGTGCACAGCACATCAATATAGTGAAGATTTTTTTGGCTGTACAACAATGGTTACTTTTTTCATTACTGCAAGGGGTAGCTTAAAGGCTGGAACACAAAGCCTACGGTCAGCCTTTGGTTAGCATTAGTCCTGCTAGTTCCACGTGTCGCCTCTTGTCGGGCTAACATTGTAGCTCATTGGCCCAATTCAGCATGTAGAATCATCGGACTATTGGCTGAAAAGAGCACTCTAACTGCTTATTCAGCAACAA